TCAAAAGTATCTACTCAGGGTTCCTAATCATCTTGCTTGGACGAAATTTAGACAGAGTGACACTGGTGTTTCTTCTTGGTCTCTCCACCTTGTCTGTTCCAACACCCGCTCCTGTACCTGCCCCTCCCCAGGCCCTCACGTACACGCTTGCCCCGAGAAGCTGTGATGACAATTACCATGCTAGGAAGAGTCCTCACAGTCTGTCATCAACCTTTGCTCTGGGAGACACTGTGGCTGGTGGTCAAGTCCTGCTCAGCTCAAGAAAATACCTGCACAAATCTCACACTGGGCCTCTTAGAGCCAGGCAACCTGAGGTTCAGACCCCTGTGCAAATGGACCCAGGCCTACAGGTCATTTCCTATCAGAGGCCACCTAAGTAAAGACAATGCTCCTCCCTTCCTTTCGCAGCAGCACCTCCCCACCAATCTACTGCTGAGTGGCTGGGATTCACATCATTTCTGACATTTCTCACTTCTTTGTCACTCACGTTGGACCCCTACAGTGGCCTCTTATTCATTGGTCCTCCTGGAGCAAAGCTTCATCACACCATCTCTCAAGGGGGACACAGGATCAAGTTCACAGTCTTTGGGGTAAAAATACAGGCCCTCCACATTCCTCTCCATTTCTGTCCCCCACCACCCACTTGTAAGGCCTCCACCCCATCTACCTCATGCAACCCTCCTTTCACTGTCTCCTGGAATCTTTCTTCTTAACCTGACTGCATTTGATTCCTAGGTATTAAATCTTACCTGTGTACAGATACCATGTGTGATGGTTAATTTTATGTGTCAGCTTGGCTGGGCCATGGTCAAACATTATTATACTCGATCAAACATTATTCTTGATGTTTTTGTGAAGATTTTTTTTGGATAAGATTAATATTTAAGCTGGTGGACTTCAAATAACACTGATCCCCCTCCATGGTTTGATGGGCCTCATCCAATCAGTTGAAGGTCTTAAGAGAACAAAGACTGATCTCCCCTGAGCAAGAAGGAATTCTGCCAGCTGACTGCCTTTGGATTTGAGCTGCAACTCTTGCCTGGGTCTCAAGCCTGACAGCCTACCCTACAGACTTTGGACTTAAAAAGCTTCCATGATACCATGAGCCAATTTTTTTAAAATAAATTTTTCTCTCCATATATAAACACACATCGTGTTGATTCTTTCTCTGGAGAACCCTGACTAATACATCTTGATGACGTCTCCTCCTCTGAATACCCACGCCATTCGTCATCAGAGACTCAGAAGATGTCAGGGCTGGAAGGGACTGCCATGACCATGTGACCCCTCCTCGTTTCTACAAAGGAGAGGCCACACAAGACCAGTTCCTGGGCTGACCAGCACCTGAACAGCTGGGAAAGGCAAGTTGCAGGAATTTTTTCTCCCTCACGGAGCCACGAAAATAGAACTAGACATTGACCATGCTAATGGTCAAGTGCTGTCTGGAGACAGGGGCCTGGATTTTAGAGACCTGCTACTTCTTTCCAATTACCGAGAAGAGTACCCATGTAGACAGTTATCTGTGCCGGCATACTTTATGTGTTACGTTACTGCTTTCAGTCCTCAAAGTGCCTACAAAGGCTTCCCTAACTATACCCTATTCCTAGCACATTTGTTGCTGTCTTGACACTCCAACTTCTTATAAATGAAATGTATGTGAGTGATTGGTTGATTTACTAATCCTTCCTCTAATTGGATGCTTCTGGAGGAAGGATGCCAATGCTCTCAAAAAGGCTGCCTTAATGTGGGTTCCTTCCTCACCAAATTCACAGCTGTAACAGAAAGACAGATGTGGTATGCAATTAAAAGGAAAAGTGTTCAGACAATAGCAGGCCGAAAACATCCATGTTTAACAATTACTGTTAAAACATGCCAACCAGTGGGGGGAGCAGCCACTGAACTGGTTGACTTCTCTAACTATACATGGCATTGACTGGACTGGACAGTGTGTTCTTCCAGGATGTGCTTTCTGCATGGATGAATGGTCTTGCCTGTCTGACTCAGGTGAACATGTGTTTGCCTGGGCTCTGAGGGTGTCACTGGCCATTCCTAATCATCCCCCTCCCTGGCTTCCGCGATAGCCAAGCCACTGACTAGTCTCATAGCTCTGATGGGTTGGAATGGTTTGGATCGCAGATGGCGTGGACTATGATGTATAGAGGCTACCCTTGGGGGTCATGGGATAGACTGAGAGGTCAGAGTTAAATTGTCCAAGACTGATTCCCTGCAAAGCTCCGTGGCAACCAGCTAGGGCTGAGAGCTTAAGGCACTCACTCACCTGTGCCACGTCAGATCACTACAACCTCATATCTTGGACCCCAGGCCTCTGGTCACACCAGGAGAGGGGCTGGTGCTCACTCAACCGTGACTGCTGAGCCCGTAGAATAAAGCTAGAGCCAAGGTCCTGCTGTGTCATACTGCATTGTACCCTAGGCCCCAATTCACACCAAGGAGCGGGGTGAGTACTTCTTAAGTCAGACAGCTGAAAAGTGCCACAGTGCAAGCACTGGGGGCCTTTCTGGAGCCTGACACTAGGTGTTCACTAGGTGTTTACCCTGTCCTGGGATGCAGTGGGCAGTGGGGGACTGCACACCTGCCACCACTCCTGACTCCAGCATTTCCCAATGGGTGATCCTCCAGAATTATTTTTTAAAGAACTACTGCTAAGCAAATGGGTCTGCCTGCTTTGAGATCTGAGCAGATGCTATGCTTGAAAGGGCTGCTCTGAGGAATACTGAGGCATTGTCAGTCATCCTGTTTTCTGGAACCCATATGCACACAAGGCCATCTCATCATTAGGCACAAGAGCCGCAGTACGTGGGGGCCACGATTCTTCCAGGGCCCACGAAAATGTGTTAGGTTCTTTTAATGTCAAAAGAGTATAAATAAATGCACTTTTAAATCAAAGAAAACATGCTCAGATGTAATATTAATATATTCACCTTTAAGCCAGCATGGTCATAAAATATAATTTTTAACTTTGTTTGTGGAGGAAGGAGCCCACGAAGGCAAGAGTGCCTAGGGCTCCCAAGAGTCACACCGTGGGCTTGCATTTGGAGAGGGATTTGTGGCTCAGATGTAAAGCGCCTGGGTAGGCTCACCCCTGGTGAGGAGGGTACAGTGCCTCTCTGCTTGTCTCAGCATGGCTGGGGAAGTCCCTCTGATCCCCCTGCTTGTGACAATTCTCTTTAAGTGACTGAAGCACTGCAGTGCCCTTGCCACCTAGGACCCCATCTGCACCTGCATCTCTTGAGCCTGTCAGGATCTCAGAAGGGGCTGTGAGATAATCACTCTGGTGGGCTCACTGTCCTTGTGGGGTTCCTGGATCAGCTCTCCAGAGCATTTTTGCCCAGTAAAGGAAGGCTCTAGCATCACCTCACCCCCTAGAAACAAGAGGAGCCCCACTGAGCAGAGGCTCCGCCCCTGCTGCACAGGCAGGATGCCCTGGTCAGCCAGGCCCAGCCGGTGGAGGAAAGGTCCACTGGGAGATTCAGTACATGGGCTTAGACAAAACAACCCCCTCCAAGCCCCAGAGGGCTTGCTCTGCTGACAGGATGTGGGCCATACTTTCTGAGGGGGGGAAAATAAAGCTCAGCTTTTGAGGCAGTACATTCCTAATCTAATAAGGAAGTCCAGGTCCTGTCAGCCACATTAGCAACCTTAACTTTTACATTCAAGATGGAGAATCGAGCCATCCTGGAATTCATGCCAAAGGTACAAACAATATTTTTGTTCTAAAAGAAGAGATGGAGAGATGCAGGAGAGCTTAATCACATAAGGTACCTTCAACTCAGTTATTGAATCCCAGAGGCCTCCACCAGTAGTGCTGGGACCAGTGCATAAATGTACAGGGAAGATTCTGGAGACAAGTACAGAGTGAATAAGGCACTAGAGCAGCAAGCAAACACCATACCTGCCAAGCTTCTCAATATCAGGCACAGCAGATGCCTCAACCATCCCTCTCGGAGAGGATCCTGTCTGCTCAGACTCTGGAGCTGAACGGCCTCCTTGGTAAGGTCCCTTTCTACAACAATGCTGTCCTAACCACACAAGCTCCATGCGGTCCTACATGGCCACTACCTGACACAGGACAACAGCACTTACGGTGTCACCTTCCCAGGCCTTGCCTCTTGCTCATGTGTTCTGCCCTCCTGGGATTAGGAACACCAACATAGGTGTTCCTGTCCCCCAAATGGCAAGAGGTTGTGCTTCCAAGAGCTGCTCAATTTCTACATTGATTTGCTTCCAGAAAATGCGGCTGCTGCTTTCTACCTCTTCACCTCCTGGAAAAGCCAGTCGGTTCAGGATTGCCCCAGCTACCTCCAGCTAGACCCGAGATAAAGAAGACCTTCTGGAGCCTGCTCTGCCTGCCCCACTCTTCCATCATTTTTCATCAGGCTGTTCTTTGGAAGGACTGATGCCTCTGGGCTCGGGGGGTGCACGAGGGGCTCCTGCATCTAATGAGGCCCCAGGCCTGTGTGGCACCTCCAAGTTAGCTCAGCATGTCTCTCCAGGGCGATCTGACAAGCGTACCCTTTAGAAGCATTTGCAGCGAGCCATCTGGCGTTGATTTTTCAGCTATACCCTCTGAGGATTCACCAGTGCTGCCAAGTCAAAGTAACTCTTTTCTGGACACGGCAGCTGCTAAAGTGGGTCACCTTGCATTTCAGTAGCATTTCTGCTCCTGGAGAAGAGCCTGGTGACAGGGAACCTACTTGAAGCTTAGTGACTGGGGTTGTCGTGAGATGCCGGCGTGATTGGGGGAAAGGAAGTGTCCAGAGCACATTTACACCATCCAGTGTGTTTTGCAGGTAGTCTTGCCTGCTTTGAGGCTCCCCAGCTCCACCTAAGTACCTAAAGAAAGTGGGACAGGAGGTTTCCATGGAAGTCTAAGGCTCTGGGCCTCATATACACACAGAGTAGAACAGTTAGGATGCTTCAGAGGAGCCACTCCCATTCCTAACTAGTGTCCTCCAGCCAGAGGGAGACAAGGTACAAAATGTGGAGATAAAGAGTAGCCTGTCTGGTACATCTTGCCAGGATTTAGGGTCTCCTGAGCCCCTCTCCCAGGGGTCACAGTGACACTGAACACAGAGGCAGGCTGCAGCCTTCTGCTCCTGCTGGAGTCATCTCAAAGGTGCCAGGAAGGTACTCAGCCTTTAACAAGAGGGCTCAGCATCCCCTCGAAGAGCACGTGATCCAGTTCCGCTGAGAATCCTCGCTGCCCCTAGTGCCCACTGTGCCGTGGTCCTGCTGGGGCCTGGGGCACTTTGGCACAGGCTGGCGGCCTCATCGCAGGCCAGCTGCACCAGCAAACGCCACATGTAAGTGATCGCTTGGGGTGCACTGTACACGGAACAGGCACAATGATGGGGATGGGATGTCATGCAAGGAGTAGCCACATATGTGGAATGCTGGTCTGAATGCCCTTGAACTTGTACTTTTCCCATCTCTTCATCCCTGATGAGCTCAGCCTCCCTCATGGCTCCAGCATCGTGAAATCAGGCTAATGCCCAAATCTGTACTTCTGACTTCTCTCCTCCTCTACAGCTCCTGTATCCAACTGCCTGATAAGCATCTCCAGTGCGTGTTCTGTGGGCAACCCCTCCAAAGCCCGATCCTGCACCTAGGCTTCACCTCTCGGCTAAGGCCCCACCAAACCTCCAGACACCAAGTCAGAACCCTGGGCTGCATCCTGGATGCCTCCCCTTCTCATGCTCCCCTCATCCAGTTGATTAAATGATTAACAGTCAGAGGTAACACTCGTATCGTACTCACTATATGCTGGGTGCTGTTCTAAACACTTTACATATATTAACTCATATAACCCTCACAACAACCCTCACAACAACCCTGTCAAGATAGGCACTCATATGATTCCCATCTTGCAGATGAGGAAACTGAGGCACACAGACTTCCCTAAGAGCACACAGCTAGTAAGTGGCAGAGCCAGTATTCAGTGGTCTGGTTCCAGAGTCTTAACCGCTTCTCTGCTAACTCATTAAGCCTGCTTGCTCTGTCTCCTGGCAATCTCTCATCTCCACACCCTGCCCCCATCACTGCTCATCAGGACCACGGTGCAGCCTCCTCACTGCCCCTGAGTTCCCCAGATCCAACCCATCCCTGCGGTCAGAACAGCTTTCCTGAAATGCAAATGTGATGGTGCTACCCACCTGCCTCAAATCCTTTGGTGGCTCCTAGCTATTACAGGAGGCATCCAAATTGTTCAGCAG